AAATGTCATGAGAGTTTAAAAACAAACAACAACACAACTTTAAAGATTTTTAATATATGTGCATCTATAAATTACTTTAAGAGAATCACGGAATTCTTGAGGCTAGGGTTTTAAAAACACCGATTTCACTCTGTGCTGAATACTATCATTGTATGTACTGGGTGTTATTCAGTGCAAACAGTTCTGGGTGAGAAACTGTGTTTGGTGTAACAGAAGTACATAGAACAAAGATATTTGATACTTCAAGGCGCTTGCTGTCCACACAGAAAATGAGGCAGTAATGATCAGCAAGCTAAGCTGCTGTTGCAGAATACAAGTGTGCTGGGTTGAAAATTTTGTATGTATCAACAAGTTTTTAGATGAGATTTGAGGCAGGGTGGCTTTGTGTACATTAATCAGGACACTTTGCCAAGTGTAACAGTGCAGGTTTAAAAAAAAAAAAGATAGTCTGACTTTTTTCTAATGAGTCCCTTCTGGAAAGGGTATGTCCTGCTTCCACTACTCTACCTGTGAATGGCTCAGTGGCACAGCCACTTCTGCGTGGATTTTTGTGAGACTTTAGTATTCGGTTTGACTTGGTCACCCAGCAGAAAGCTAACATAGCCAAAAGAATGAAAAGTATTCTGCTGAGTTAGCTGGATTATTTTAATGTGAAGTTGATGGGTGCCGGAGTAGTGTAAAAGATAGGGTGTATCGTATAGCGGGACAGGGTAGAAGGAAGGAAAGTGAGGGAAGGGGCTGTGCATCTTGCAACTTTCTTCTGCCAAAAGATCAGCTCAGTCATTTTGCACGACTCCACCCTCAGAAGCATCATGGGAAAGAATGTGAAGAAATTTGGTTGTCGCTATGGGCCAGCTTGAGATGAGTCAGCATCTCAGTAATAAATGAGGTAAGTCAGGAAAGAACAGGTTTTTGAGAGGTCTTAAAATTATAACAAGTAGCTTCTCTTCTTTGTCTTTTTTTCAGCTAGAAAAGCAAGAACTTCTGAAGACCTAAAGAGTAAGGGTTAATCAGAGCTAAGAAATCTCTGCAGCAGTGATCTGAACTGGGGTCCTTAAAAAAAAAAAAAACAACAAACAAAAAACCCCCACAAACAACAAAAAACAAAAACAAACAAAAAACCCAAACCAAACAAAAAAAAAGCAAACATCCCCCCCCTCCCCCCCAACAGCAACAACCAAAAGTCCTTGTCAATACCAACATGAGCTGTTAAGTCTCACAGTGAAATGTTAAGGCCATGATATTTCTTCTTTTGGGAAATCGGTCTCTGATTTTGTGCCATGTTTTTTCCACTTCTGCATTAATCCATGTTCTTCAGTGCTGTTGCATGAGATTTTGTGACAGGAAGGTACGCAGTGCTGGATCTGATCTTTGATTATAGGAAAGCACATGGCTCAGTTGGTATAATCCAGAATGTATTTGGTCTATTTTCAAGCCCATTTTAATGTAAGGAACAGACCAGCAAGAGACTGTATCTGCATTTGTGAAGTCATGTTATTTTGTTTAAATTCTTTTACATCTGCTACATGTGAAGTTCTGTTAGGCCTGCCTACCTTCCCTGTTGGCTTTATTTTTAATAAAAATGAGTCACGTTTGAGTAACTAAGTAAATTTTCTACTTCTAATATATGATACATTTCCAGAAGAAGAAAAACAGGATAGCCAGTCTCTCCTTGAAGTTAATATGTCACAATTCTTTTGTTAACTTTTTTGGAAGAGATTTTTTGCAAGAAGGTTCTTCTGAAGTTTAAAACAAGACTTGAACTGACAAGGCTTGACTGAAAAGGCTTCTGTAATCTTCATTCTTTCTGAGGTAGTATGCTATTAGAGGGTATTTATTTCTTTACTATCTTGTTTTTTCTACAGCAGTAGTGTTGATACAATCGAAGTGTGAGCCAGCTAACTTGCTGTATTCATGTTATCAATTCAATAGTGGAAATGCCTGTCATGTTCTCAGTTTTCTCACAGTGCTGTAGATCTTACACTGGAGTCCCCCCTTTGCTTCAAATTACTTACCTGCTAGTAAAGCTTCTGGGAAATACCTGGCTGCTCGGCTAAGCACTACAAAGATGGTTTTCCTCAAACTTTTGTGTCTCTCTAGAAATGAGAATTTTTCTCAGCAGAAAGAGGGCAACGTGAGGAAAAGTTGCTGTAACTGCAGTTTTTCAAACACGTGGAGTAAAATGGTTTTAGTGCACATTTTAATTAGGCAGCCTTGTTATAAAGGTCTGCCATTGCTACAGAATTGTTAACATGGGAGGTGGTTGCATCATTTTGTCCTGGTTTCTTCACATCCAAATTGCCTGCCTTTCTGCACAGCCACCTCGCTCACTTCTGGGTTAGTGCCCACTCTGTCAGGTAGCTGAACAGAAATGTTCATTGCTCATGATGTACAAGAGGTTTCCTGGGCTAGTCCCGTGGTCTTTCCTGTCCATATAGGGAGCTTAGTTTTGGTACAGGTTTACCTTGAGTATGTAGCCATCTGCACTTTCAAAATTAAAACTTACAAGCGTATTTCTAGTCATTTTGGAAAGTTATTGTTGCTGCTTGTTCTCCAGGGAATTGAAGTAGAACATTCTGGAGAGCTCTAAGGCTGCTCACCTGGGATCTTTCTTGTGGCGTAATGGGGTATGTTACAGGTCCAGAAGTGGTGTGAGCCAGGGAGATTCCCACCCATTACCCAGGGCAGGCCAAAGTGTGGAAATCAGCCAAACTGTATTGTCAGAGAAACCAAATTATGAGGAAGTTATTTTCCTCTCCTGTTATGTTCCCTTGAAATGAGAGGCTCTGATGTAAACTATTGGTAGTGCCATAACTATCCCAACCTCCTTGTCTTCAGTGTTTCTCTTGTTCTCTTGTTTCTATGGCTTGTGCTATTGCAAACCTCTCAAACTGAGTTAAGCCCCTGAAAATGAAACTGCGCAGAGGAATCCTAAACTTGGGACGGATCTAGTAAGATTTTTTCACCATCTCTAACTTCTGTGATCGTATCAAAGATAATGTGGGTTTTTTTTTTTTGGCTGGGTTGGGGGGCAGGTTCAAAGAAATGCATGCACATGTTCCAATTTAAATTCAAAGTTACTGGATGTTTGGTTTCGCTATGCATACTGTTCTGCAATGCAGTGTAACTCTGTCTGTGCTTGTGGCTGTGTATCTGACAGTTGTCTTTTCTACAAATCTAAGTCACAGCACTAAGCAAAGGATATTTTGCATTAAGCTGGTGATGATTGAGATTGATGCCCACATTTAGGAGCCTGTCTTGTCTTCCCAAACTCTCACTGATCCTTTGTCTGAAAAAAATCACAATTATGGGGTGTGGCAGTAGCATGTCTGTACATGCACTAAAGTTTCATTATAAGCAGTGTAGTCAATACAATTGATTCACCTTACCCTTGAGTAGGCATCTTGCAGCTAGTCAGCTTAATTGTTTTCAACTTCATTGGCTGATAGATGAGATCTCTGTTGACTATGGTGGGTTTACAGGTTTATACACCTTAATTCAGGTGCCTATCTGTAGGTGTCTTAATCTTTAACTGCTGTCTTGTATTCCTGATGATAGTGCAAGTACAGGGTCTTCTCTTTCCAAATACGTTCTGGATATATCCTCATGAGATTGCTACTTATGTCTGCTTTTTCAAATTTGTTGACTTTTTAAGTTTTTAAACTACAGAAGGTGATAAAAAACTCCGCTTGGTTTGTAGAGGAGTGGTGAAGAAGGTGCTTTCTTTACATCTCTGACATTTTTGATTTCCTTTGTATAATGAAAAATGTACAAATACCCTTTCAGGAGCAACAGGGAAGTAAAAGACTTTATGTACATGCCACAAATGCAGCTGTAGCTGTTCATATTGCAGTAGGAAGCAAGTGTGGGGCACCACACACAACTTTTTTCTTTGCTCCTTTCCAGATGTCTGGTGTTTGGCTTTTTCTAAAGACTTCATTTTATGTAAGGCAGTTTTTTCTTTTTCGGTAATGTAATACTTTCTGACAGTTCACATCTCCAGCATAACCTTGGTATTTCATTTATTTCACACTAGAGTGCTGTGGATAGTGTTATTGTAGTGCCTCTCACACAGTGTCTAATCGAAGACTGCATGAGAATTGTCCAGACAGGTATCTCCCTTTGAAAACTGTCCTGCTGCAGTACCGCCATGTACAGAGCTTACTGCGGTTTCTGCTATAGTAGCTCTGCACGCAGCTCTCTGCCCAGCCCCACTCTGTGCTGCTTGTCCCACTCTGCCTCAACTCCCAATCTTATTCCCAAAGGCAGGGCAATATTGTCTTTTCTCACTGTGTTTGGTAGTCTTTTTCCATTTCCCATCAGAATGCAGAGTCATCAGTTGGTGTCTGAATCCTGCTTTGTGAATTTTGGGGTTTTTTTGTTGGGATGGTAGACTCTTAGGAAGAAAGGAGAAGACATTCCTAGTTCCCCTGTTTACCTTCCCATGTCACTGGAGAGTCCTAGCCCTCTAGTAAGTTCAGAGTAATTATGGACAGAGGTTAATATGGAGAGCAGAAAAGAGTCCCAGCTTTCCAAAATCCCACCAACCCTTTGGAGGGAAAAGAGAAGTCATGTGGTGTTGCTGTAACATGCTATCTTTTTACTTCTGTCTTTAAGTTTACTTGCTGTCTTTAAATTACAAGAGGATTAAGGATAAAGCTGTTAAGTTATGAGATGTTAGGATTCGAATTTCAGACACTAAATGGATTTCTTTGTCAGCTGTAAATCTACGATATTGATTAAAATCTGCTTTAAAGTAGGAGTCTCTCTCCTCCATGGGCTTTAGCATTTATTCTAGAGAACTTGCGTATGCCTGGTTCTGGTTCTAAGCATAAATCAAATTGATGCTTCTTGAGGCGAAAATCATCTGCATCCTTAATTAAGACCAGGAGAGTACCTGTTATGTTTTGGAAACTGCATGTTGAATGCATGTTTAGATTTCTGATTTTTTTTTTTTTTCAACTGTATCTGCTAATAACCTGTTCTCTTTTGCAGAACCCTGTGATAATATGAGAGAGATTCTCCAAAATGTGGCCAAATTACAAGGCGTTTCAAATATGAGAAAACTAGGTCACTTGAATAATTTTACTAAGGTAAGAGCTCAAATGGTGTCATAGAACAAGTGATCTCTGTCAGACATTGGCTGGGAGATTAAGGAAACAGCTTAATATCATGGAACAGTACTTGACATCTACATACTATGGGAGAGAAAAGGAGCAAATAAGGACAAGCAAATACGTGAATGCAAGGTTATGCTGAAATTTGTCTGTATGTCCTACTGGCTGAGTTTTTGTAGTATTTTAGTGCTTAGAAGCCTGAAATACCTCCCAATTAATGGGTTAAGTTGCACAAATAGAGTTAAAGATTGGTTCCTGCTACACAGAATTGAATCAAAAATGTGAAATGCAAGACTCTGGATGTAAACTGACAAAGTATGGTAAAGTGGAGGATTGTATCAATGAGCATGATATGCAGTGGTTTGGACACTAACAGAATAGCAACCGTCAACTTTCACTGCAGTTTTCATAGTGAAAAAGATTTAAGGGGCGTTTTCTAGAAATGGTCTGTATTGCTGGTTTTTGAGGTGCTTTTTCCAAATACATGGTTCCAGATCATGGGAATGTGACATGTACTTGCCTGAAAGTATGACAGATATGTTGGAAGCTGTCGTCGTGAGCTGACAGGAGGCAAGAATTAAAAACTTACTGCAGGATGAGAGTGTAGGCTCTCATGAAATGCCTTCAGAAGGAGAGCAAGTACCATTTTTTGGATAGATGAGGAACCTGTGGTGAGGAGCAGAGAGGACTGATGGGAGGTGGGCAGGGAGTTAGGAAAAGGCTATTTGTTCTAGCATACTGAATGGTTGTGGTTGGACCAGCATTCTGTTTGTCAAGGCAAGGGAAAAGCGCGTCGCAGTCAGTGAGCTAGGAGACATTGGAGCTTCAGTGTGAGTGTTACCCAAATGGATGAATTGATACTCAGAAGGAGCTGGTAAGTTGTACACCTTTCTGGTAGAGTGCCACAGATAGGACAGTGTGCCTGAAGATGAAACCCAAGTTTCTGTGACAGAGGATGGATCCTGCAATCAGCTGTAGCCAAGAAACAAGGTAGTAGTGGAGAATTTTGTGGGTAAAGTAAGGTTTAAAATGTTGTTGTTGTAGATGAGCTGATAAAAAAATCATTAAGATAACCAGGAGGCTACTTGACATTTTGAGACAGTCTCAAATGAAAGAACAAATGCTCAAGGGCAGGTTTGGGGGACCAACTGGTATGAGAAAGACAAATGTAGATGATAATCTTCGAAGTAGGCATGCTTCTTGTCTGTTAAAAGCACTCCTTTTAAGATTGAACAGCACTTCAGTGGTAGAGTATGGGATTCAGTTAGCACGAGGATGAGTACTGAGAACAAAATTGCAATAGCAAATAAATTTATCTTCTAGTGCATTAATAACAAATCTGTAAATGCTCCATTTTCTGAGTTAGTTCAGAGCACATGTAGGTGCATAGCATTCACTGAGGAACTGAACTTACTTACACTGAAATCTTTTCTTTGGGTCATTGCCTTATTGTGTCTGTTACTCTGTCAGACATCCACCACTGACAAAATGCTGCTGTTTCCACTGAGATTCCAAACTGTGTTGCAAGAAAGCCCTTTATTCTGCTAGAAAAGGCCGATGCGTAGCTGTGTTCCCTTTTTCTGCTAATCTGGAAACTTTTACATGTGAGTGCTTCCAAATTCTCTAGTTGCCTTAAAATTAAAGAGCTGGATTAGATTTACAGATGCGTGATTCCTAGTGAAAAGTCAATATTTTAAACTATGGATTTTAAAACAGTGTTGATTTTACTCTTGAAAATGAGATGTTAAGCACCTATAAACGTGGTAAATTAGTAAATATGCATACTGTAATTAAAGGATGCACAAAAAATTCTTTTTAAAACAGTTTTGAAAAAATGAATAATTCCATAATAGAATATTTGAAGAATTTGTTCTTTATACTTACTTGGTGTTAAAATTGGAAAATACTTAAAAAATCACAAGGAAGGTTTTCATAAATTAGACTTAAGACTGGCAAGAAATAATGAATTTGTGAAAAGCAACTTGCTAAAATTAAATACAACTTTTGAAGACACTGTAGTTCATAACCTGGTTTTCATCGTGAATCAGGGTGACCTTGTATAAGGGAATCATCCTACTCTATTTAATATTTAGCACTTGTTCTTATATTCATCTCACTGGAATATCTGCTTTATAAATTTATAACTTGTATATTTGATTTTGAAAACTCTTCTGATTTTTGTTTGAACTGTAAATGCAGTTATGAAAATAGAATAAAAGTTGCAAATTGTATTGTCTGCCTTGTGGTTGGAACAGTTCTGTGTTTTTCATTCCAGTGGTTAAGAGTGAAAGCCCGGAGCTTGGGGGAGATGGTTTTATTTCCTTTTTGCACTCTGGTCTTCTACCATGAATTGATATAGTCCCAGTTCCCCCTTTGTGAGACAGGAGTGTGGGGAAGGTAGATGTGCCAAGAGCTGAGGATGTTTGTATCCTGTCTTGGAATTATATTGAAGATGAACTTGATTTGCCTGTAAATTCTTGCATTTTATGGTCCGTTTTTGAAAGGCTACTAGTTACCTAGGATATTTGTCCTATGGACAGGGAAAGGACCTTTGAAATATTTTATAGCATATTTCTGATAAAATAATACAGAAAATCTATAAAATTTAAATCTCCTGCTGCAAATATTATTATACTTAAAAGAAAATGTCAGCACCAGTCTAAGCAGTTGCTCCCTAGTGCCCCAGATTCTTCCTTCAAAGACTGGGCGAATCTTGCATTTGGAAGAAATACCGTTCTACTCTTTTGGCCAGAGGAAACAAAATGTTTGTATTCATGTGGAAACAAGTAATGTAAGTTAAAGTGGACTTTCTTGTCAGAGATCGTGGTAGACATTAAGTTTTGTATTAATTTCAAGATATTTGAGGTATGTTAGGTTCAGGTTTCTTTCCTTGAAAGGAGAGTAGATTTTTAAGGTGAAGTTTGTTCCCCCCACCCCCCTTTATTTAAGGAGAAAAAAAGTAATTACCCTTTAAAAATTACTGAACTAGCACTGAATTAGACTGCAGAATTTTATGCAGAATTTAAATACTTTAAATAAAATTTCTTAAAATAATGGTGGTCAGCAGTCAGCAGGATTTGTTACTTTATCTGCAAGAATGATACCGTAAGGCAGGTATTTTATATGAAGCTTGCATGCCTAAGAGTTGTAACTCCGTTTTCATTTCCCTTTCCCTTCAAGAGGGGTGTTAATTAGTGACGTTCAAGTCCCCACAGCACCCCACATACTGTGCAAAGTATGCTGTATACGTGGTATTTTACAAAAACTTGCATTTAATTCATCGAGTTTTAGCTAGTACTACTTCTTAGTAAAAACCTTAATGTTAATGCTCTTGGCTCTTTGGCTGCAGAACATGGGTTGTTCTTGCCCAAACTTACAGGCACTGTACGTTTTCTGCTCCAAGAAATTAGCATTCCGAGTCTGGTGATACTCAGGCTGTGGAAAGGTGTGTTTAGTTCTGAACTGCAGCAGTGGCAGACGTAGAAATTTTTCTCCTCGTCTGCTGCTCATCACCTAATAAGCGAAGCTGCAGTTTTGTGGGCAAAAACGTTTATGAAGTACTGCCTAATCTGTATTAGACAAAAATAATCTCGTTCCTTTCAAACCACCTTTATTACTATTTAAGCTAACCTGAATTTTGACCTGAAAACTGTTTGAGGATTTGACATCTAGTAAATCGTCAGTGACACTTTCAGTCGTCACAACAGTTCACAAGCTTGGTATGTGCCTTTGGCTTCAGTAAACAGAGCAGGATTACCCATCTTCCATTTACATGGCCATTACATGGTAAGGCAAGCACCTTGAAGTTTCCCAACTTCTGCTGATTAATACCAAAACATCATGGTTACTTCTTTGGGGTTTTCCCCACCCCCATGAGAAGGGGTAAGTGATAAATTACTGAAAACCAGAAGGAACTGTACAATTGCATTTACTTAGTGGAAAATACCTTTTGGATTTAAATTATTAATTCAGAATCCTTTATTATAGAAGGTTTATGCCACTGTTAGCTTCTGAGAGATCCTTTATACCTTTTTAAAGTTAAAAGTGTATTTAAATAATGAACAGAAAAAAAGATCCACAGATGATGTTATAGGGATTTCTATTTTTCATTTAAAAAGAAAGGTGCTTCTTTAAGGACAAAATGAAACTCAATTCATTTTAGCTTAAACTTAGCAATTGAATAGCATCAGTGATATGGAAAATTATATTTTCAATCTGCTCAAAACTAATTTTGTCATTATTTAATGTGGCTCTACTCTTCTGCTGTATATATCTGTTAGCTTTTGACCATGCTGCTAAATTTCACTAGGATGTGGATTGAGTTTGGGGCTATAGAGGCTTTTGTCTCTGGTTCATGGTCTGTCATTTTAGCATCTCAGCTGTCTTTGCAAAACCCAAGTATCTTAGAATCTGAATGCTGTATTAACTGACTGTAACATTCACCCAAGTAGCTAAACCACAATAGGCAAAACTTGAAATCTCATGATGAAGTATGTAGCAGGTAGGAACAGAACATCTACTTAGGGGCATTCAGCTGTGGCACAAACCTGGAGAGCTAATGGGTCTAAATCCAGAGTCTGCAGTTTCAGTAGGGGCTTCTTTTAAGACTAGGATCTACTAAGTAGTCTCCTCATAAATATTACCAGTGGTGGTTCAAACTGTATTTTCAAAATTACAGTATAATAATTATATTTTGGATGCACAGAATAATGTCATACTTTTACCTAGTAATTGCTGACTATTCTGTTAAATATAAATTTGAATGGTTTCAGTGTGCACTCAACTTGTGGAGGCTGTTGACCTCCTGTGATTTTGTTGTTTTGAGCTACTGTTTCCAAGACATGTTGATGTGTTACTCATATTGCTGTGACTCATCCAACTAGCATGAAAAACTCATAGCTGACAGTAAACGTGACAGAAACCTTCACTGTAAGTTAGTCACTGTCTGGCCTACCATTTTGTCCTAATATTAACTCATACCCTCAAAGGGTCTGTGCTATTCCCATTCATTGACTATTATATCAAAAATTTTGAATTTTAGAGTTGACTTATTGGAGTTTTAACATGCAAAATATACTCTGTGTGTTTGTGTGTGTATATATAAATATATAAAAAAAAATGAATGGATATGTAGAGAGAATTGGGACATACATTTTATATATGAGAGAGAGAGAGAGAGATCAAAAATACAAAGGGCATTTGCATAATTCCAGGCATTTACATGATATAATAATCCATTGCCGTTTTAGTGAAATGTAGCAATGTGTAGCCAAAAGCAGATTTTCGTATTCTGGTACTGCTTGCCTACAAACTTAGACTACAATGACATGCATATTAATTGTTAAATGTTACAGTCAATCAATATGACAGTTACTTGGCTTTGTCAGGAATTCAGCCATCTACAAAAATCACTGCATTTGGGCCAGAATCATTGACCTGTTTAATGTTGTTTGAAGGTGAAATGAGAAGAAGGTGGCAAAGTTTTCCCTTTAATATATTTAGGACCAGACATTTATAACTGAGCATTGAGATCAGCTGAACAGTATCTTCTTTATAGCAGCTTCCATGACTTCTGTTTCCCCTTTTAAACATATATCAATCCAACCTTACTTTTGCCAGGTTTTTTTTCTAGACTAAATAAACCCGGTGGCTCAGCCTTCATGGGTGTATTTTCTAGCTTCCTTGTACATTTTTCTGCTACGCTTTTTCCAGTTTGTCTGCTCGTAAAATGTGTGCCCAAAATTTTGTTCTTCATGCAGTTTTGAGAGCATCGTGTGAAGTGGAAAAAAAAGGCCTCCTAATCTCAAACATAATGAAGTCCTATTAGTATTTCCAATGGTAAAATTTCCTTCTCCCCCTCGCCCCCCCAATGATACCACATTAACTCATTTAATTTATAGTTTGCTGTAACTTACAGATCTTGTTTTCCTTTTGAAATTTGTTTTTGTATTTAACATTCTGAATGTTTTCTGGTCATCTTATATTTCTCTGCTGGACTCCTTTCAGTTTTATGTGTCTTAATGTGTGGTACCCTGAAGGGTATGATTCACTGTTCCTTCTATTTAATTGAATTTTCGTACAGAGTTTGGGCACTCCTTTCAAATCACTGAAACATTTTGAATTCTGATCTTGCTGTCCTTCTTTTAAATTCTTTTCTAGCTGGAAACCCTGTAAGCATAGTACCATGTGTAAATTGCAAAGAAAACCAATACATGAGTAATGGTGGCCCACTGGAGTGAGAGTAAACTAACAGCTAAAGTAGCTAATCTTGTACTTACCTTTTTTAGGCAGTTTTTTCTGTTCATTCTCTGTGAGAGATATTTCACATGTACGCACAGGCACCATCAACACTTTGATAATAATTATCATCACATTCAGAAACTTTTATCCACACAGCGGTTAAACTTGATGAAAGTTATAACTGTTGTCAGGTTAAATGACTATGTTTGAATTTCAAGATAAGGTCAAGTTTCTTTCTACATGAGTGAGGGTGTGCGCGGCGGGAGCACATACATAGGGGAAAACAGCTGGTATTGAGGAGCTAATAACCACACTATATGTATTTGGTAAGAGTGGTTACTGACAACTAGACTAACTTCTTTTTAGCAATTGCAGCAAGTTAGCTGGGTTCCTGAAACACGTCATCTGCTTTAGTTTCATCTCAGGACCGCTCAAGATGCAAACTAATGGTAAGCGTGATGATAGGAGACTCGCTTCAGAAATGCACTAGTGCACACAATAGCAAGTTTCTCAAAAATGTTTTTTCCTACATCAGAATTATAATTCTGTGGGCTTTTTAACATAGGAAAAAAGACTGTTGAAGATAATCTGATGTGTTAAATTAGGTTTTCTCCTTTGTGTCTGGGGTGGAATGATGGGTAGAGGCTTAGATGTATAAATGATGAGCCTAAACAACTATTGATGTACTTGTCTGAAACTGAACAATGAACTGTTTTTACTCACTATCTTCTCACACTGTTTTGCTTACACTCTGCCAGCCATTTTTTACAGTTCATAAGATGTCAATAGAAATGCTAAAGCAGCAGTGGTGGCCTTAGGCAGTCGAATAACATGGCATAAAAATAGATTGATGCTAGGAAGTGACATACTGCTGTAACCAGTTAATGCACCAATTGTCTAGTTTTATTATGACTTTATTATGAAAGGTGGGGGAAAAGAGGTTATATAATAAGTTCCCTTATGTTTTATAATGATCTTTGGTTACAGCCACTGTTGAGAAAAATGCAAAATCCAAAATATTTCAATTAACTTAGATTATTTGAGCCCAAATGTGGAGCTGATCCAGGGCAATTTAATAATCTATCTCATTAGCAACTTTGGATTTTAGCATTGTCACCATGCATTTTTCTCACAATATGAAAAATAATTCTTAAAATGTAATGTGATCGTTGGAAGAATTTGTACTTGTTGAGCATAAACCTAAGTATTGTTTGAATTTAAACCATCATGCTAATAAAATGGGTTTACTTTAAAAGCAGAGCTTCTGTGCAATATACTGGTTTTTCAGGTGGAGGTGAGCAGTAGAACGGGAGCATGGAACATGTTAAATATTTCAACTTACAGTAGCCTTAATTTAACTGCTTATTTAGTTTATTATAAATTTCTTATTGTTAGTGGTAAATACATACAAAGAACGTGGCATAGGGTTTTATGTATTTCAATGCTTTCAGAGCAGGGGTGTTCACTAGTTAGCACAAACACATTCTGAATTCCTCACTGGGGAGAAACTGTTAATACCATGCTAGCTCAGAACTGAACATGTCTGTTTCGAAAAGAGAGGACAAAGTGCAAAGCTATTGCAATCAGTATTAGTCACGTGAGTTTTTGGAAGTCCTTGGAAAACTACTTTGGGATTTGGATGTGATGATAAAGTATTTTATAATTTTAGCTAGGGGTAGTAAATGAGATTACTAAGAATTTCTTTGTCACTCTTGCAAAGGAGAACAGCATCAGTTCTTCTTACAGAAGAGACAGTTTTCATTTCCTCAAGAGGCTAAAACATTGGCACGTGCTGGATTGCTCCTTTTGAGATTGGTTTTGGACGTAAAAACTCCACTTGTGAATCCTCAGTCTTGTGTTCAAAATGGACAGATATGGTTGAAATATTCAGAATTTGTGACAGTTTATAGGTGTCTTTTTGTGTGCATAAATTCAACCTTTGCACTGATTTTTCAGAAGTACAAGTTCTATGGAATTGATGGCAGGCCAGGCCAAATGTCAGTTGTGGGACACTTACCATTGGCAATGCCTTCTGATTTTTTTTTTCTACACCTGTGCTGTTGTGGCAAAACATGACAGTGGACCATCAGCGTCAATCTTTGCTTAAAAGAGCTCACCCGAGCCCTCTTTTTGAATGCTGATGTGCTTGACTTCGGTCTTTTTCATCTCTGCTCAGGTAACCAATTGCCCAGCTAGAGGCTCTTCCGGAAAGAGCTTAAAGGCAGCAAGAGGAGCAATATGGAGTTGAAAAATTGATCAGTAGGCAGCTTACACAATTGTGCAAGCTTTTCTCTAGTATGAGAGACTACAGATTTCTGTGTGTCTGGTGTATATAGAATACTGGCAGCAGACAATCTCAGGGACGTTGGAAGCTGGTACGCTTCCCCTTGCCATGAATGAAATTCCTCAGGTTTCTTTGAAAGCATTGCCAGAAATCTACAGTTTTACATTGTCATTTTTGAGGAGTTATAGATAATAGATGTTTTCTTTTATTTTCAGCTTCTCTGTAATACTGGCCATGCTGAAGAAAAGTTAGGTTTTACGTATGACAGCATCATAATATGGTAAGTAGTAAGAAGCGCTAGAGCAATACTAGGGTACTTTAATTGTTCTCGGTGCAATTAAATAAACTTTATTTGTACTTTTGAACTAGTATTTTATATTTTCTAATGTATTTGAAATTTCATATACAAACATATACCTTACAAATATTTAATGAGTAAAATCAGAAATACATTATTCACATTCAGATAAAGAGAGGGAAGAAACCTCCAGGTTAAAAGTGTGGATTTATTTATTATATTCCTCATAGATGTAAAAATACCTCTAAATATCTCAGTACTTGCAGAAAGCACTTTTAGTAAAAATGTGCACCTACAGAATTTAGAGCATACTCTTGATGTAGAATCAGGATTTAAAGATAAACATTTTATGTTAATTTGGTGTGTATATATGTCTTTGAGGCATTGCTTTCCCTGCTACTAAAACACCCTGTGTATGCACTTTCAAGTGGAATTTTCCTGTATTTTGTTGTCATTTCTGACAGCCAAAAGTAACTACATGCTTATTTCCGGAACTTCTGTGTTTTTACACAGACATTGGTAAATTTGTCCTGAGGCTCACCATTGGTGGCAGAAACAACTAAGATCTAGTATTTAATATGATTTTGTGTTCTTTCAATTTAGTTATCTGACTTAGGAAAGCAAGCTTAGAAAAGCTAGTCACTCTTTAAGTAAAATGTTGGGAAAACTTATGTAATTTCTTGGGGAAATAGTATGTTGTTTTCTTAAATAGAGCTTATTTTCCTTGCTAGAATTAAAAAATTTAAAAATGTTAGTTTATTTTTGTGAATGCATATTTTGCTGCAAGCTTTAATAGGTTATCATCTTCTGATCTTACTTATGTAATCTATTATAGTGCTCTATGGTGGGACTAAACATCATTTAAAAGTATAAGTTCAAAATTCAGAGTTCTTTACCAAATATTTTTAAATACAAGTCTTAAAAGGTTATGCAAATACCAGTGTTTCCTTTTATAGGAAGAAGTTTGCAGAAAGATCTGCTAATCCAAACACAATTATGGATATTGATAAGGAAGAGAGAAAAATGTTGTTCTCAGCAGACATGAAGAAAAATAGCCCTCTACTTAGAAAAATGCCAAAAATGGCTTCTCAAAAAAATAGACATGTAGCAAGACAATTATCTTGGTTAGTGTTGTTACTTTGGTCAGTCCAATGGTTTCTCTGTGTATGTACATGAGAAGCACATTTTTTGTGTGTATATGTAGGTTATTCTGCTATAGTGATAATTTCAAACTCAAGGATATCACTCAAATACTCCCATGTTAACAATCATAATCGTGCTGATTGGTGGTTCTTCAGAAGTATTTATAGGATGGATTGTTTTCATGAAATACGGACTTATCAGGCAAATTTTAAAATTTTGCTCTACAGAGTTATAGTCGGTTAGTTCTTCCGGACTTTTTAGCAGTCTTAATGTTTATCAGCCTTAATGCTGTCTTAGGAAGTTATTTTCATTTCTGCAGTGACACTTAAAATACTGGGGCAAGTAGTATCATGGTTACTTTTTCTCTTACACAGTCATGATGTCTTTTTGGCACTTTCAGCCACAGATGAATGTGGAATGTGTGTATGAAAATAATTTTCTTGATCTGATAGCTATTTTAGAATCACGTAGTATGGGTTTATGGGTTTATAACACATTTTGTCTTGATGTGCGTTAAGTCACATTTAACAGTCTTGAATTTTCTTCACCATCTTGTTAACTATGCATACAGATAATTTTTAAGTTCCCTTGAATTTTTGTATAACCCCATCCCACTCTCATTAATATAAACTACATTGCCCTCTGTATTCCGCTCCCCCTCCCGCTTCCCTCCAATCAGGAATTGTATACAAAATACTGCCTACAAAAAGAGATTGCAAACCTGGATAAAAATCAGGACAAAAAATTGTCAGGATAAAAATCTTCCATTTACCTCTGCTTTTTGAATTTATCTTTTCAGATTTTAATTTGTGAAACTGCTTTTCATCACTGTATAATCTCTTTATATCCCTTAATGCAATCTTCAGCAACAGCTTATGCCTTTTTATATACTATTGTAATAACTCCTTTCAAGTCTTTCAAAAGATTAGTAGAATATAGTTTGTGTAAACTCTGCTGAGTGCTTCACATGGCTAACCAGTTTTATTTTAAGGTGATTTTATTTTAAGATCATAAACAGTCCTCTGGATGCCTTTTGGAATCCTTCTTGGTATGGATCTGTTTATCACCTTTTCTCCATCTTGGCCATTGCTGTTTATAATGTGGTGCTAGCAAATACATGCAGGTAGTTCATGTTCATGTTCTTTCCAGACACTTAGATGTGAAGCTTTGTGGGCCACTGACAATACTTACTAATAGATTCCCTGCAGTTCTTCCATCATTTTCACTTCTTAGTCTAACTCATATTTTGTATGATAAAAAAGGCTTTAGGATAGGAATCTTCATGCAGATCTCTGAAGCAATGGCTTAGTATGAAGAAAATGCTTGTTTCTGTCATACCTCTGTCAGGCTCTTACTTGCTTCATTCCTTCTCCTTTTCCTTTTTGATTATCCAGTGGGTCCGATTTTAATTTTTCAAGTTTTCTCCTTGTGGTACAGCTGAGAAGTTGGAACACATAGACATGTACAGACACATGCACATAGGTTTTCCTATGTAATTTTTTTTCAGCCTGCTGTAGCATATCTTCCTTGTCTTTATAAGGTCAGGTTTCTCTCGGGTTTTTGCAGTTCAGTCATTGACTTGTTGGTTTTTGTTCTTAATGGAGAGATTTTTGTTCAGCCTTGTACACTTCTATATGTCATTGCTTTCTTTGGACCTTTATGGATTTTTATGGCCTTTATTTTAGGTCTCTATCTTTCTGGCTAGCTGTATATTTTCATTGCATTCTCACAATTTAAAGATAGTGACACATCCCTTTTTGGTACGTTCCACTTTTGGATGTTGAATCTCATGATAGTGTTGTCCTTTGTAGTGGTTTCACTGTTGCCAATTCTTAAATTAACTTCTGTCTACAAATTAAGAATATCCTCCTCTTGTGAGTTGTAGGACAAGCTTTCAAAGCATTGATTGCTTTTGAGAAAGTATTTGTCTAAAGATTGTTTTGGTCTGCCATTCAAGAAATGTTTTCCTCTCAAATATAAAAATAATGTACTTTACTTGATGAGGGGAAAAAAAGCCTGATTCGGTATTTGGCTGTCCTAATAAGAAATGTCACGGATAGCAACAACACCGTTTGCATGAGTAATGGGTAACTTCTGCCCTAAAAGGAAACTCTGCTGAAGTGTCTTAAACTGGCATATCCAAACCAATTGTAAACTGTGAGGTAAAAGTTCAAATACAAAAATACCACTAAGTAGAACTGAGTCTTATGTGCTCATCCCTCTGACTTCCATCTCTGCAAAGCTGCAAAACTAGAAACAAAGCATGATTCATGATCTAAAGAATACCTATTATCTCCTCAGCACGATTGAAGAGTTACTCGTCTGCTTTCCTTGAATGACTTTGGAAATAAATCTCTCTTCTAGTACAACCTTTTTTAAAGGAATAATTTTTCTTAACCTCACAGTATTGAGAATCTGTTTCTTACTTGTTTCTAGCTCAGCTTAAAGTAAATAAATAAAGGCAATTAGTAGCACTCATTTTATGTGAAGAATCACGTTTGATATTACAGCAAAGATGGTCATCCTGAAGTAATTCCCTACTTGGTGCTGAAAGTAATAATCAGTTCATCTTTATTTGCATATAGTATTGCAGCCTTTCTACTCTGTCTAGATATTACCTGGAAGTAGATTCCTGTTGTAGTGACTTTTACACAGGCCAATTAATCTCCAGAAAGATTCAGAAGATTTTTGGCCTTGGAGTAGCTGATTACCATGCATGATGATCCTAGAATAAGAAAAGAAAAAAAAAAAAGCCATTTTTATAGGTAGAAATTCAGTCTCACTGGCTGAAGTATTTACATTCTTAGATGTCCACTGCAAAAGTCCTACTAAAATGCGTCACTGGGAGGTTAGGGTTTTTTCCTCCACTGCGTAGTCAGGGAAAAGGCCCTTTTGAGGGCCTTCAGAAGGACAGTGTGTCACTTAATACATTCAAACTCCATCTCTGGAGGCCTTCAGTATCTTGTTTCTTTTTACCTAGATAGTGAATTTGGGAAATTACATTATGATAACAGTTAATGTTTAGGAAAGCTCACCTAGGTGCGAGCAAAATGCTTTCAAAATCTGTCTAAAGAGAAATACGTTTTGGTGATACGTTAAAATGAAATCTGTAGAAATCTGTACGGTGTGGGGCTGCTTAAGTTATGACTGTTATATTTCATGTAAACATAACGTGGTGCCATAACATCTTTAGGGAGTGGTGTGTATAATTACCTAAGGTGCAAATTTGTCTCTATTAGGTGTCAAGACATTGTTTTCAGGACTCATGCTTATGGGTTGGCAGTCTAGCAGAGGAGGAAATGTTCTCAGTTAATTTTCTCGGGCTAATATTGTGCTCAGCTGTTTTGTCAAATAACAAGTCGTATACAGGTCTTGTTCATGTATCATTTCATGGATGTACAAGTTATTCTTTTGGGGGGGGGAATTGATTTGTGGCTTTTTTAATATATTGTCTACATCTGGTGGCAGATTGAAGGTTTGCCTTCTAGGCTGTGCAGGTGAATATCTCAAAGACAGGAAATTAAGGCAAAACACTTCTTTTCAAAAATCAGGCTTTCTATTTTAAATGAGTAGGGCATAGCTGCATGTCGGATGGTGAAGTCTACTTGCTGCTAAATAATTGTTTGTCCCCCTTGTTTTCTTCATTGTAGCCTGAGGTTAGCTTTACTAAATGAAGCTAAAGAGGTGCGAGCAGCAGGATTGCGAGCCCTCCGCTATCTCATTCGAGACTCCAGTATTCTCCAGAAGGTGCTAAAGTTGAAAGTGGATTACTTGATAGCCAGGTAATTTTTCTCTTCCTTCTTTTTGTAAACTGTACAATTGCAAATCGCTTGCTTTTTCATGGATAAGGCAGGTGAGAAAAGGTGTTTTCATATCCTCTTACATTCTTGATATGTAGTTTTATAAAAGCCATTTTTCATAAATATGAATAACGTCCTTTAAAAAGGAAGAAGAATACATCATACCAGATAATCCAAATAAATGCTGTCTAATATATGATATATTATGAGTAATCTAAAAAATTTCTGTTTTTCAGTCATAAATGCTATTAATCATAAATTAATCTGTGGTGTTATTAGAAGGTTGAAACATCAGTAATTGTCATGTCTTAAGTTGTTTTATGGGAGGAGTTCTGATTCTTTGTATTATCATAGTGCTTCAGAGCCTCTAGTACAAAGCCAGGGCTAAAAAGTAGTTCATACCCAAGAATTTGTAATCTAAGTATAACCCATGACACAATAGAAGAATACCAAAGGGCAAACTAATAATGACATAATAAGATCAGCATGTAAATATTAGCATTTCTAGTGCTTCCTTTGTTAAAATCTTGTTGGATTTAATATACTGATGTAGATGTGTGTATTTCTCTTTATAAATATACACACATAGGCAGTTTTAGTGTGCTGTTTAATTTTGTTGGAGCAAAAGGACTTCTGTGATCTGAGAACACACACAAAACATGTAGATGTGAAACATTTCAAATACTTTGTTTAATCATATTTGAAATGACAAATGCAGCTAGCTCAGAAAATACTTGTTGAAGATGTTATGCCTTGCCATTGTATATTTAAGAACATTCTAGTGATTTATTATAATGAAGATAACTGAAAAAAATATAAACCGAAGCTAATTGACCAATCATAATGAGTATGCTTGCTGAAAGGCAGAATTTTTAAACAATCAGTCATAAAATTCTTTTTCTTCTGTTTATTCAATTGCATAAATACTAACACAAGATGTTAACAATTAAGATGAAAGTTAGTGGTGTTATAAATAAAATGTGTTTTTTAACTTATTTTAGGTGCATTGACATACAGCAGAGTAATGAAGTAGAAAGAACACAAGCACTTCGATTAGTCAGAAAGGTAAAATCTAACTATATCTGGTCTTAGCAGCTGTGCCAGTCAGTTCTGCTGACTCCTGGTTTTCTCCATCAGCAGTTTTTTTTTTTTCACATAGTCTCTAATACCTTACCTTACTTTATCATGTGAGAAGAAATCATAGCTTATAATTCAAAAGGGAGGAGGAAGGATAGTGATGAGACTTGTTTTGATTTTAATCTTTTACCACTGAGAATCTCAAGTGGGCTAGAAAAATCATGCTAATTTTCCTTTGATAGAGATAGTACTGGACAAGATTTGGGAAAAACTTATCAAATGATAAATGCAAGAGTAAAGAGCCATATTATTAAGTTTCATCTAATGATTTGACTTTATTGTATAGTGTGTTTAAGTATCTGTGAATCAAGGGTGGGAGATTTTCTGTCATTTGAGAAATTAGGCAAATTGCCATCGCTGGAATAGTCAGTTGAAGGAATGCTTCTAGCCTTGTTCGTTTATCCATAGAGGTTGATGCTATCCGTAGTTCTTTTCTCAAATACACGATAAGACATAGTTAGTCTGTGTTAGTTACTGTACTGCGTATCCATGGATATGAGATGTTTGAAGCTGTGGTAGCTGCATTTTCAAGTTCACCCTAGAGAAACTGGCATGTACAGCTACTGAAGGTATTTTTTTCAGGCAACATAGTATTCTGCCTTTGTACTGGACTTTACTGTTCTTTATTGTGTTCATATTCTTCTACTTCTACTAAGCATCCTAGGAAAAACTACCAAAGACTCAAGTAGATTTTGAAGTAGTTGGAAGAATCGTTCCCCAGGAGCACTGTGTGTTTTTAATCTGTTTTGTGTGTATATGTATTTTTTTAATACATATTTAGGTTGAGTATATGAAAGTTTGATATGCAATTTCTTTTCTTATAGCAAGCTCACTTTGTGTCTTACAGAAGAGGTAAAATGCTTGATTAACAATTGTGCCAAAAAAAGAGTTTTAAAGCTTAAACACCAACACCACCCCCAAGCCCAAACAAACAAAAACACAACCATAAAGGAATGGATCCTTGAGGAGGTTGCAGTTTATAAAAGTTCTTTTCTAATCTGCTTTAAAAAAAGAGCTTCAATGTAGAGCCAGAATAACTTAAATCAGAAGATGGAATGGAAACACATTTATAATGAATTGGTTTTATTTCGGTCAGAAATTTGTCCTCGTTATTCCTGCGATTTTTTGAGCATTTCCTAGTTGAGCGAAGACTTCTGTCTTGCTTGAAAGAAACAAGAGGAAGCAAGAGAAATAAATCCATTAGTTTGATTAAAAAAAAAGATCCTGAAAGGTAAGTATTAAAAAAATCATACAGCTGACCACCAGTGCTTTATTTTCCTCTATCATTGTACAGGGATGCTGTGCATGGGATGTACATGCGTGGAATGTACATGCTGTACAGGGATGCTGATGGTTCTTTGAAGCTGAGAACTACCTTGATGAAAGATGTTTCCTAACGTCTTTTGCTACCTAGAACATCCTTGTTTCTCAAAACACTGTCAGACAAACAAAAAGCCACCCAACCTGGCTACCAGTAAAGTTACGACCTTTTTCATGTCCTGTCTGGGCTGCCGCGGTTAAGCATGCACTGGCATAAAGCAGTCAGTACTTGAGAAACTCTCTCTCACAAGGAATACTGTGACACACATCCTGAATGGCACATTCTCTATTTTCACACTATCTCTTTGTTACCTTACTCTTGCCCTTTTCCCATCTCTCTTAATCTCCATCAATATCTCAGACTCAGTGGTTTGATACTAGGATTCCTAAAAGATTATATAAAGTCTAGAAAAGGAGAATGAATGGCAAATAAAACAACCGGAGTTAATTCATTTGTGCAGGAGATAATTTACTGTGAGCCATGGAAGAGCTGAACTGGGTTCCACCAGCATCACAGAACTGTTGTTTCCCGTTTCAAAGTCTGGATGCAATTCTTTACTCATCTTTGATATGAAAAATACCTATGTAAGAATAGCATTGATATAAAACTTTAAAACATTCTCTTGCTTTCTTCTCTTCCTTTCCATAGAGTAGAAGAACAAAAGATAAAATACTAATCCTTTTTTAAGAATTTATAAAAGGCACTTAATGATAAACTTGTTTAAAAAAATGTGCAGGTTAAAGTAGTATAGGAAGAGAAAAAAAAAAAAAACTTTAAACTTTTAAAAATTGGTTTCTGGTTCTTTTGAAGGCTTTGAGTGCTCACTGTCTCTTTTGACTGTAATCACCTCTACATTTCCTAGTAAGAGCTTTGCAATTTAGCAGTGTCTTCAGCCATGGGAAGGGTGGCATAAAGTTGCTTCATAAAGTGTTTTTCTATCTAATAGAAGTCAATAAGACCATTTTTTTATAATTTAATAGGCAGGATGTTTTATTTTCAAAGCAGAAGTCAGGGTTAGATACAATATGAACCCTCTTTCTTCCTCTTTTTCAGTGGAATCTTTAAAGACCAAATTCATAGTCTTTGTTACATATTTCATCATAGCTGCTTGCAAGTAGCCTTGCATTACCTGTTCTTGGTCTTTAGAACTGCATTTCAATACCTAGAGAAGAATGAAAGCAAATGGCAAAAGTTTGCATTTATTCTACTAAGGTACTTGGAATCGAATATTAAAAGAAATAAATCTTTCCTCCTCATGTCTTAAAACCAAAGAAAACAATGAAGCAGAACAGCCTTAAGAGGCTGCTTGTGTCCTCACACTAAGTACATGCCAATATCAGTAGGAAAAAAGGTTATAATTTTGTAGAGTGGATTGGTACACCCATTCTGTTGCTAATGCTTGTTACTTCATGCCATTGTAAAAGTGAAAGACTGCGTAGGTGGGGAAGAGTTTGTTTTTTCTTTAGACTTCTATCTTAAAGCTTCCTGTTTTGTGGGTGACAACATGATGACAAGAAGTTTCTCAAAAACACGTCTTAAAAATAAACTTGTTGAAGTGTTCCAATATATTTGTCATATTGGTTGATCTCTTCTCATTTTAACATCCTCTGCAAAGGGGGCAACACAATTAATACCCTTCGTCTGAACAAATACCTACAAGACGTCTAAGGGAGCTGTAAAATGAGTATAGGACAAAAAAATTTTGGAAAAATAATGAAGATAAGCCTGCTTTGGTTGGAAACAAAAGGGATATTAAACAAAACTGTGGAAAACTGGCCTTAAGTTTTTAGGTGTTTGATGGATATTAGGGTTTTTTTTTTTACATGGCACTTTTATTTATTAGTAGAAAAAAATGTTACATGGTTGAGTGGGCTATAACACATTACGTTGTTCCCTTTTTAAGCAGTCGGATAGACAAAAAACCTACTTCCTCCTTAGTAATACATCTGTTTAGTGACGTTCATGTTCCATAGTATAGAGAATATGTATATTTAATTTTCACAAACTATGAAAAAATGTGAACAAACAGCTACTCAGCCTTTGTAGTCAAAGCCTCATTTGGGGGAGGGCGAGGAATGGTGGTATTGGTTGCTTGGTTTGGAGGAGGGTTTTTTGCCTTTAATGTGTGCCCAGGGTCTTGCTCCTTAATCTGGTGTATATTCTGCTTGTCCTAAACTAGCAGCTGAGGATTTCCATGGTGCAGGACCTTTTCAGTAGCGTAAATGAGCATTAGCTATTAAAATCTGTTCTTCTGTCTCAAATTTTTTTTTTTAATTGAAGAATGACTTGATCAATGGACGCAGGTCTTGTTTTCATATGTGCTTTTCAGTTTAACATATTTAAAGTGTGTGTGTGTGTTTTGTGCCATAGCTACATAACTTATGATGAAGTTGAATTACGCTCCAGTTCTAGGAAGATCAGGTACTATGCAAGAGGATATAGGGGTGTTACTGAAGTTGCCTTCCAAATACTACAGCAGCTTCTTCTATTGACTGTCCTTTTTTGTAGTCTGCAGGAATCTAAGGATCTCTCTACAAAAGAGGAGATTTTAGTCTTGGCTAATTAAACAGTTGAATAGATACTGAAGAATCTGCTGTAGTATGAATGAATCTTCTAAAAGAGTTCATAATCTATTCTGTGTCATTGGATACCATTCTTTGTCGATAAAGAAATTCTTGCAATAAAATATGAAAAAGGCAGCAGTCATCTTTTTAACCCTTTCCTATTATGATAATATAAAAATAAAAAAGTGAAGCCGGAGATGTAAAGTAAATTGACAAACGAAGTATTTCAAGAACAAAAGAAATAGTTTTGAGGATTCAACAGATACAACCAAGTAATATATGGAGGGGTCTGTCTGGTTGTATCTAGGAAATGGAATGCTGGTGAATCTGTGAGTATATTTAGAGAAATATTACGAAGAAACCAGAGGGCTTTTTCTTTCGTTTTTGGCAGATGATCACTGTGAATGCTTCATTGTTCCCCAGTTCTATTACTAATTCTTTGATAGCAGTTGGAAACGATGGTCTTCAGGAAAGAGACAGAATGGTTCGAGCATGTATAGCCATTATCTGTGAACTAGGTAAGATAACTGAAAGCTAATTAAGAAAAATTTTGACATGGTTGTCATCAGTTTTCTAACAGATTCTCTTCTGTGAGTTCCTATTAAATAGATTGTATTCAAATAATTAAGGTTATTTGTTTAATAATGAATTAGATGTTGAATGTTCTTAATGTCAGTTTCATGGATTTTACTCATTAGTTTGATATAAACCAAAATAACATTAACTTAAAATCAGAATCTCTTAAGTGAAGTACCTGAAGATTTCAGGTGCTCTTCTTACCTTTAAGACTTGCCAATTTTTGATTTACCTTAAGAACGTTTCCCTGCTACAGTTGATGTTTCTAAAACTAATGGATTGGAAGTAGGGCGAATTCCATACATGAGATGCTGAGAAACGTACAAGAGTTCAGAGAACTACAAAACATCTTCCTTTAAAAATTTTTACAGTGGGTACTGTGGTTAGCTGACTTCTGGAAGTCAGTATTTGTGTCCACATAAAGGCTGTCTGGACAGTGGTTTATACTAACTCCCTATACTTGTATGTGGGTGCTGATTTTTAAAGTTTTTTCAAAATCAATCAATGAGAAATAACTTCAGCAATGTTTTCAAGTTAAAAACGTCTGTTTTAGAGAAATAAACAATCTGTTATTCTTTTATATTCTAGTATAAATATTTTATCCGGGTCAGTCCAGTGAAGCACAAAACCTTTTTGCGGGGAAATCCAGAAACTACTGTATGGAAGCTGGTTGGAAATAAGTTGGGAAATTGCTGCACAATTGTGGCTGACCAGTATTTTTGTTCATGATAAATTAATCCAAAATCTCAATTCATTGCTAATGTCAGCTAGTTCCATTAAAAGCTTTACATGTGCCTCAGCAATGTTCAGGAAGAAAAAGATATATGTACTAAAGAGATTACAAGTTTGTCATACTGGAAGCCGTGAAATGTTTTCTTTCCTATCACTGGCCAAAGGGATGTGTTTTTCTTTATTTAGCACTTCAGAATCCTGAGGTGGTGGCTCTTCGGGGTGGTTTAAGTACCATCTTGAAAAACGTGATTGATTGTCAGCTAAGCCGAATAAATGAAGCTCTGATAACTACAGTTTTGCACCTCATTAATCATCCAAAGACCCGACAGTATGTGCGAGCAGATGTAGAGTTAGAGGTGGGTTCATTTTTACTTGTTTAGTGACAGAAATTAAACATTGTTTTACTAATGAAAATGTTTAATTTTCATCTCAGATTTCACCCTCTGTGTTAGTGCAAAATGTTTAAAATACAACATTATAGGCTAGGAGCATAATGATTTATAAAGCAGGAATAACATGACAGATTGGAGTGGGACTGAGGAAAGGGCAAGACCCATTTAACTGTATTCTCATGTGAAAGTAATGCATGTCTTTCTTTTGTTTAGCGAATTTTAGCTCCTTACACAGATTTTCACTACAGGCATAATCCAGACACAGCAGAAGGACAACTCAAGTAAGTGTTAGTGCTGCTACTTTTGCTACCAGTTGTGTTCATGGTATTGGAATTAAACTATTTTTTTTCCAAAATGAAAATAAAAGCAATGACCTAATACTAAACTACTTGAAGAATACAGTAGGTTAGAATGTAACTTCCTAAAATACTGTAAAGCACTTAAGATTTAAAAGGGCTTATTTAGGCTGGAGAAGAGAAGGTTGGGGGACACCCTCCCCAGAATAGCAGCCTTTCTAATACCTATGAAGACATTACCAAGAAGATGTAGCCAGGGCCCTTCATGGTGGGAAAGGTGGGAGGACAAGAAGCAACAGAGAGAAATTGAAACAAGAGAGGTTCCAACTTGATATAAAGGCGGGGGAGGGGAGGGGGGGCGGATTTTCTGTGAGGCCAGTCAAGTGTTGGAACAGGCTGTCAGAGAGGTCCTGCAGCGTTCATCCTTGAGAATTTCTAAGACCCAACTGGATAAAGCCTTGAGTATAACCTGGTCTGGTCTCATAGCTGGCAACTTCTTTGTGCAGGAGTTTGGACTAGAGACCTCCTGAGATTGCTTCCAACTTGAATTATTCAGGTTTTTTTAATTATAAAATGGCACTAGATGCTTAGGTCTGGGTAATTGAATAAGGTCCAAATCTTTAGGTCCCTGCTGTAGACTCACTCTCAGTGGAGGCACAGAGTGATTCATCTGACCACATATAGGTGTTTACTTTGTGGTGTTCTCCTCTTACCATGGAAACTCCCCTGAAAAAGGAAAAGTAATAATAACTTTAAAATTCTTATCTTTGTGTGTGTATACACATTGCATAAATACATATACACACATATGTGCATATGTAAAAGATTTCTGTTACTCTGGATTTTGTCCCCCATCTAAAATCTCAGTTAACTACTTTTTACTTACTATGTTAGTAACACTGTTTTACAGTAACTAACTGTATTGTGACATTTGTTGTTTTAATGACAGGGAGGACAGAGAAGCACGGTTTCTAGCTAGTAAAATGGGAATAGTGGCAGCATTTCGATCATGGGCAGGTAAGATTTTTTTTGTTTGTTTGAAGCTGGGTGATTGAAAGAGGAATTTTACTTTCTAGTATAAGAGAGTGATTTGTTTAAACACAGAATCTGTCTCATTTGACATGTCTAATTTCCATCAATACCTTCCTACAATGCTAAGATGTGTTCTGATATTGTAAAATTGGAGGACGCATACTGACAAGACGCAGCTTTTTCCAACATCCCCCCTCCCCCCGTATACAATACCTTATAAGTTGTACCTTGGTGGAACTTCTTGACCTTTGATGGGTGAGAGGATGTTGAAAATAACATAATATCATAAGAATTTGCTTTTGAGGTGGTTCTGCCACTGTAAATAAGAAGTCTTTTTGTCTATGTGAAGAGATACCAATCGAATAGTTTCATTAGCACCTGCTTTTACCAAGTATCATAGCTGAAGAGAAATTGCAGATGGACATAGTTTGGAACATTTATAAATCGAAAAAGCAGGTTTTTGCGTTTTTCTAAATGCTTTCTCTGCAATATTACAATATCTAATATGAAGATACAGGGATTGCTCATTCTTTTAGTCAAGACCGTGTCTTTCAAATAAACTAAATCAGTCGATATGACCATTTACCAAAATTTTGGGTAGGATTTTCACAAGTTATGCTTAGGAAAGATTCAGACTGTGTAAAAAGCCTTTTTCATTGTAAGACTATTGACTTTATTTTTTTAATGTTCTGAAAATGATCAGGAAGCTTCATCTAATATGCAGTTATCCTTCAAAAGTTTCTCACGTGTTCTTACTTGTTTGGGGAGGAAGTTTGGGAAGTTTGTCACAACTTTGAAACTTCTAGGAAGCAGTTTCTGATAGGAATGTTGCTGCATCTTCCCTTACTCAGACACTTAGAACTAACAGCATATGCCTGAAGGTTCAAGTGGCTGAAGAAACAATTGTCTTGGAATATGTTACTTGTCATGGCACTTTCACTGTTACATGTTCATCCTTTTTTATATTACTTGTTATGTTGGAGACTAACATCTTAAATGTTTTTAGTACAAAAATGTCGTTACACTGTCAGTCTTCCCAAAGAACATGGAGCTAAACCAGGCTTGAGGGTGTTTTTGGTTTTTGTTTCAGCTTTTTGAGTGGGTTTTTTGCCTGTCTGTACTATCTGCTGTGTTCTACTGTTCTGCTCTCCGTATTTTCCAGACTGGGTTATTCTTCAGAGCTGATGGTTACTGTGTCCTTTATCCTCATGTGCGATCATGCCCTTAGAGATAAAACGGGGGCATGCACACAAATCTATTCCTTCATTGCAGTTGGGATGTGGCCACTATATGCTCTTGGAAGAGGCCTCTGAGGTGCACTGTGGAACATATTTAAATGACCTTAGTGTGTCTGTGGCCACATGTTGCATGTCAGAAGTTTTTGTGACATGAAAGTTTTGAAACTGGGGACTTTCTTCAAGTTCATATAAGGCACATGTTATTAAAGTTAAATTTGTATTAGTGAAAATGAATAGATGAGTAGGTGATATTTTTCATCTTCTAGTAATTTTTCAAGAATGATGGTTTGGGTTTATTTAGGATACGTAAGACAAAAAGGTGTGCAAACCTGGGTTCTTTATGTTCATTTAAAGTTGCATTTTGGAGAAACTTGTTTATTTTCTGGATAGCATGTTTCTGTAAGTTTTAATTTATTCTGTGAAGTATGAAAAGAAATGGTCAAGGAAATGAGCAAGGTTATTGTCTTTGCAGCCACATTTTTAATGAAGAGACTGTACATAAATTAAGGCTGGAAATCAATGTAAGCTTTAGGTGGTAGTCTGTAACATTTAGAAACAATTTGAAGATCTTCCCTATTAATATTGAAATATTAAAACTAATTGAGTAAAAATACAGTGTAAAAGGACCAAATTACAAGAGAGGCTCTGAGATTTTATGCGAAGTTAGATCTACTGTGTTGAAACTTCTGGAGATGAGCACTGGTCATTTGGGAAAAGATGGTTTAAAACAGTGCATAGAGAATGTTACTCAAAGTATGTTTAAACTTGCTGTTTAAAATTCACCTGAGATTAAAAAGAACTGAATAATTTGTTAGGTTAAGATACAGCTTTTGGTGGAGAAACTTCTCACAGTTCTGCCAAGATGATGCACATCTTTCAGGTTTAAAATTCCTTCTTTATTGGCAATTTTGTCTTTTCTTTCTGCCATTTCTTCCATGTAAATGTTGTTTTTGCAGATAATTGAAAATACTGTTCACAGTAGAAAGCGCAAAAGTACCTATAGTTTTTAATGAGGAAACGAAGTTTTGTGACTATTGATATTATTGATTGTAAACGAGATGACATTATAAGGGTGAAAATGTTTATGAGCAGTAATTTTTGCCTACTGTGCTTGTACTTAAACTGGAAATCAAATTTAACAATGTGTCTAATGCTTTTTTTGTTTGGTGAGGGACTATTGTTATGTATTTAATGTTTTCTAGGTATTATCAGCCTGTGCAAACCTGGAAATTCTGGCATTCAGTCTCTTATTGGCGTACTCTGTATACCAAATATGGAAATACGGGTAGGTGGTAAATATTTAGTACGGATGTAGGAATAATATTGGGTGTTTTAATTAACATATTCTTAACGTTTTAACAAGTTAGTGGTTTAAACACAGACTGCAGTTATGAGACCACTACCCTCGAGTTTATTTGATCCCCAAGTTCAAGTCTATAATTCCATTATAAAATCCCTGTGAGAATGGAAGCACACCCTGTATGTCTGAGAGGAAGTAGTGGAGGAGAGTAAAGTACCTAAATTAATCTTTACTCTGGTCACAAGTCAAAGCAGGTTCACAGTAGCTGCAGTTACAAGTTTAAAGTATAATAATCAGAGTTGAATCTGAGATAAATAAAAATGTTTGTTCGCAATTACCTGTTAAACCAAGAAGTTGATGGTGGCAGCAGGAACTATTCTAAAAATCTGTAATCTGAGTAGCCTGGGCTTCTGTAGAATTCATAGTGGTGATAAGGCACAGTTCTAAAGCAAACAAGACCTTTCCCTTCTTCTCTTCTCCAGATTATTTCAGTTTATGAAAATAAGCATGTTATCAAAAAAAAGAAACACTGAAACAAATACACCAATTTTAGCACTCTATAGAAATCTCAACTTCAATATTAATAGTGAACAAAAGGACAAGTTTTGTAAATTATAAAATTCCTTTTGTGGTTTTTTTGGGTTTTTTTTTGGTAGCGAGGTCTGCTTGAAGTTCTCTATGATATATTTCGCCTTCCTCTCCCTGTTATCGCAGAAGAGTTTATTGAGGCACTTCTCAGTGTAGGTAAGTATTTAGAACCAGTTCACATAAGAATTCTGTCTATTAAGCTCTTCTACAAATTTCATTGTCATCTCTATATTGTAAATTATGTCAATACTAGCTGTTTCATCAGTGAATTCATTGGGTGCCCTGAAGTCTTGTTTAAAATTCTTTATCAACTGTTAAGTGGTGTAAGTTTGATAAAAGATCAGCAGTGGAGCATAATGGAGTATTTACACAAAAGACTGTAAACACATTACTACAAATTAGACTTCTTTGAAGTGTTACAAGCATTAGTAATGTAGAAGTGTTAGTGAATGTTACAGAAAAGTTGTTAAACAGAGTCTTTGCTATATATTGTGTATCTGCTAGCTATCTCCACTGCACTTTAGCAGACTTTTACTTTTCCTAGGGCAAGTGTATGCTTTTTCAAATCTTATATTTAGCAGAGTTAGTCTTTTATCTTTAGAATTACTCCTTTGTAAACCCAAGAGTATCCTCTGCTTTGTCTCACAGTGCGAAAGTACGAGCCCAAAAGGAGCAAGTTTCAGCCTTTAATGTTTGCAATTCTCTTCTCCGAACTCTGGTTATAAATGTTTTGTCATGCAGTTGATTATAAAAGCTTAATCCTTGTTCCACATTTTTCAGTAAATAAATCATTTTTTGTTGCAAACTTGCTACTTTGCAACATACGGATGTACATTTTAAAGTTTTAGGTGGTGTCATATTTTCTGTTAAACAAGTTTAATGTGTTTATGAATTGGAAATATTATTTTGGTTGATACTTAGATACAATCTTTGTCCTTTGAAGTTAGCCTTGCTTTGTTCAGGAGTGTGGATAAGGTGACTTGTTAGAGATCCATTCTGACAAAATTTTCTGTAATTTGAAACCTGGAATAACATTTGTTGGCAAGAACTATTATTTACCTATTGACAACGATTAAAATAACACTGAAATCCAATGTTATAGTTACCATTGTCCATTTTTTCTTGTTCTAGACCCGAGCAGGTTTCAGGACTGCTGGAGACTTTCTGATGGCTTTGTAGCTGCTGAAGCTAAAACTATATTACCCCATCGAGCCAGGTCAAGGTGAGCATTTAATGAACTTAATCTAAACCCTTGTTTTTGTTTTGTCGTGGTGTTTACAAAATATTTGTTGTTTTCTTGCAGACACAATAAGAGATGAACCTTCTAATCTGTTTCCATACTTCTTCTCCTTAGGCCTGATCTCATGGATAATTATTTGGCTTTAGTGCTTTCAGCTTTTATTACCAATGGACTTCTAGAGGTAACTAATGACTTTAAGTTTGAATAGATGCTTGCTACTTTTTTCCTATAAACATTAAAATAAGATGTTATACATTAAATGTTATAATAATTTTTTAACTTTTTGAAGGGTCTGGTTGAAGTGATCACAAGTAGTGATGACCATGTATCTGTTAGAGCAACTATCCTTTTAGGAGAACTTTTGCACATGGTAAGTAAAACTTTTTGCTGAGAATAAGTAGTACTAGTAGCTAGTTGTAAATAGATATTTCCTATTATAGCTTTGAATTTGTATTACGAACTTAGAACATCTACTTCTCATCAGAATAATGGGTTAATTTACATTTCATCTTTTAGCCCTTCATATATTAAAAACAGTATGAATCAGTAGGAAAGCCATTTGGAAAATATCGGAAGTGCTAGGGGTTGTGCTCCAAGGATAATCCTGCGGTCTCAAACTCTCACAAATACACTTCCTTGCCTCAGTAGCCACTTGTATTTTTAAACTGGAGTCCTATAAACTCACACATTGGTTACTGTGTTTTGGAAAAGGACCGTTGCTGATTTTTGCTTTTCTTAGAATGATGGTCGCCCTCTGGCAGTGTTTTTAGCTTTCTGCCTCACAGGCTAGGCAGATAAAACTTTTTTCATGTTCAGCTTGATGTGGTTGGGGCACTTGATATTTTTCATTCAGGCAACTCCAACTTGGTGGAGTCTTCTTTCAGCACTGCTGTGGGTAGCCCCTGCTACAGAGAACCTGAAGGGACCTTGCTTCGTTCTGCTTCCCTCTACCTAACATACCTTTTACAGTAGCTTCTTTCCCTTAACCTGAACTATTTTGGTATAGAGATGACAATATTGTTTTCATACACACTCCAGTGCTACCTTTCAGCCTCCCGAGGAACTGTTAGTTGAATGTGAAGTGATATGATTTACCTTTCTTGCAAAACAGTTCTTCTATTTTTCACATGCTCTCTTGATGACAAGAATAGCATATGCAGCAGAGCACTTTTTGATCAGTTTTCTTGAGTGTTTTTTTAATCTTTTTTTCCAAATAAGCTACTTTATAAGAGGTGATATTTCTGATTTTAGATTTTTTTGATACTTCTATACACGACATAAGGATCTCTGATGCTTTGCATGGTTTTGCATCTTACCACTTAAACACCAATGCAAACAATACAGGTTAGAAGGCTCTGAAATCTGAAATTGTCTTAAGTTACTTTCAATTGTATTTCAGATTGATTAGTTAGATCAAATATTCAAAATGGTATGTGTAATTATTGCTCTGATGTTACACAAAAGGCAGTTTTGTTGTCATGCATTTGTGAAAGTCTTGTGAAAAGTGGTAGATTCTTCAAATGTTGATCCTAAAGAGATGGCTGAAAATGTTGTAATAAGTTATTCTAACTGTTGTTCTGTGTTGTTTTTTTTTTTTAGGCAAACACAATTCTTCCGCATTCTCACAGCCATCACCTGCACTGCTTACCAACGCTAATGAATATGGCAGCATCTTTTGACATAATGAAAGAGAAAAGACTGTAAGAATTCTAAGTTACACTTAAAACCAAAAATGTTTACATCTCCTTTTCCCCCTATAGTTGAGTGAAAACCTACATTACAAGTTTTCTGGTGGCTGAAACCAATACTGTCTTTGTTTAAAAGCAAACAAACGCATGCATATAAAAATACTCTGTCACACTTACTAGGGAGAAGGTTTCCAGTGCATCATTCCAAAAGTGTTTATAGTAACAATTTAGAAATTTGGAAAGAAAGTTTTGATAGTAGATTTCAGAACACTTTTGCATAGATTGCAAGATTTTTACACAGAAGTGAATGCTTAGGCACTGTTTGACCAAGCAACATCCGAGACATGTTCTGTGTGTTTGACCTCTCCATTGTTTCATGCTTCTTTTTTGACATTTTGATACAATTAAGCTTTCAAAAATAAAAAAGCCTGTACCAATTCTTTTCTTCTGTTGTTGTTTTCTATAGCTAATTAAATAGTAATGGACCAAATCAGTGAGTCATTATTAGTGTGAGCAAGAGCAAAAAATGTAATATTGGCATGGAGCGGTTTTTTTTAACCTTTTTATTTCCTCAGAAGAAAATGGTGACTGTAACAATAGTAATGATGTTAAAACTTTCTGGTGCTTTTGTTCGAAGTTTGCACTGATAATTTTTTCAGTTCCTTTCAGTTCCGTTTAAATATAAGAATGCATGAACAGAAATTCTAAATTTAGTGCAGCATTCTGCAGTGGCATGTAGTTAAGCAGTATTGGAGAACTGTTTGGCAGTCATGGTGAAAATCAAACGAGGTATATTTAGGCATCTGACTGGAAGAAAAAGTTTATAGAAGCTTTTTATTCCTCTTTGAACTAGAAATACCTGAATTTTCAGATTTTAAAAATCTATGGGCTTTTTTATTTTGTTTTACTTATTTTTTAGAATTTTTCTGTACATCTATTAATCTTGCAATTTAACTTCTGAAGTGTTCTGTTATAAAATACTACCTCCTGTGTACTTCACACAATTTAAACCTCCTGAGGAAAGAAGTCAAATAATTTGATAGATTCATGTGTCTTTAAAATGTGTTTCTGCCACTCAGTGTCCTTACTTGCATTTCTTTGTAGAATACCATTTAAATTGAGTGTGTTGGGTTTTTTCTAATAGTAAATTATAGGAAATGTTTTTATTAATTACTCTTGCCATTCCTGATCTGCCTTGTAAGATCAGTATTCTGATAAATATATCATAACTTTCTATTTTGTCTTTTGTTGTGTTGTCAGTGATAAATTACAGAATCTTTCCGAACTGTGAAATGATACATGCTGCTTGTAGAGTGCTTCCAAGAAACGTAGTGCTCTTCTTTTTAGTTTTGAAGATTTCTTACATGTCAGTAGAAGATTTTGATAGGTGAAAACACAGTTATTTTTCAAAAAAAGCATATCTGAAACTCCGTCACAGTATATTTCACTCGGTCAAAGCTGTGGGATGAGAGGAAGGATGAAGAGCAGAAGGGATACATTTGTGGATTACCTGCAATTTTTTCACTTTTTGGCATTTGTGGACATACCTGATAGAGTAGTAAGGATTCCCGGTTTTGTTGGAAGAAAGTGATTTTGTAGAAGTAGTATTTTTTTATTTGGGGATTTTGGTTTTGGTCAACACTCTGCGTTGTTTCATACTCTGAAAAACTGTAAGCCCTGTTATGGATTAAATGTACGTAATTTAGATAAGTGACCAAATTCAAAGGTATTTGTTTGAAGATACTATAAAATAAAAACACTCCTACCCTATGAGAATTTTTGTTTATGGGGAAGAAAGGTGGACTTACCTCCTCATTTTTAGACTTCCTTGTTTTATTTGCTCAGCTACCACTATTTTGTAATTAGTAATTAACTATTTCTGCCTTTGTCAACTGTCATTGCTATTACTTCCTATCTTTTCCTGGAAAACTTCATATATGCTGTTGCTGAACTGTTTAGATACAAAGAGCAGGAAACATAGTACTGATACTCCTGCCACCCTCTGGGGGAAAAAAAAGAGAATTTGCAAGAAATATTCTGTTAGTCAAAGTTGAAGCTAGCCCTATCAACTTCACTGCAGAACGTTGATCTACTGTGACATGTCACAATACTTTATAAACTTTAAACTTTACAATATCTTCTGTGAACTATGATAGACACCAATAATTGTAGAGTAGAAGAAAAGGTATCAATAAGGCTTATTCTTCAGTGCTAGAAATTCTGAAAGATAATTTTCTGTATAATTTCAGGACAAGACTGAGGCCTGTGGATGTATGAACACTTGTATCAAGAAAATTATTTTTTTTTATTTGCTTCAGAATTGTTAGTCAGCTCTTTCTTGAGCTATGTTTATTTACTCAAGATATAGCAGTGGTGCTCTTTAATTGGATAACAGTTGCCAAATACTGATTATAGTATTTTTTTTTCTATTAGACGAGCAAGTGCTGCACTAAACTGCTTAAAACGTTTTCACGAGATGAAGAAAAGAGGACCTAAACCGTACAGCCTCCATTTAGATCATATTATTCAGAAAGCAATTTCAACGCACCAAAAAAGGGATCAGTACCGTGTGCAGAAAGACATCTTTATTTTAAAGGTATTACCATTATTGATTTTTCAAAACTGAATTTGACTTTATATTTTGGAAACTTAGATACTGCCTCCCAAGCTTCACTCTCTTATCTAATTCAGAGCCATTTATGTGATTTCTTTATGGGGTTTTTTTCATCTAATTTGTCTTGTAGGTACTTGTGGATACTATATTGCATTTCTAGAAATTGAGGAGTGAAATTACAATAATTTTTAATACTTTTTAGAACCAATTGTGATCTCTTACTATTAGGTTCTTAATGCAGTACTGTCACCATGCAATTTACTTTCAAATGCAAATTACTGTGGAGCATAGCCTTTTTAATGATTGTTACATGAACATGAAGTATATCATGTGATAAGACTGAAAAAAATGATGCAAGGAAACCTACTGTAGTTTTTCATGTCTGTATTCCAGGATACAGAAGAAGCACTTGTAATGAATCTTCGAGACAGCCAAGTTCTCAATCATAAAGAGAACCTTGACTGGAATTGGAATCTAATAGGGACCATACTGAAGGTGAGCTTAAAAAGAGTGTGATATTGCCTGGAAAAAAGTCTCCATTTCACGTGTGAGTTTTGACTTTCTAATATTAATTCCGTATGACATCCCATAATCTTTTATTTCAAAAAATTAGGATCTCATGGGTTTAATCAGTGCTGATATAGTCTCTTTGTATACAACCCTTAGCTGTAGTGTATTTTTGCATGTACTTTAAGTTCACAAATTTCTTAATAAGCATGTATTAGATTTTCTATAACTTTATTTGTATAGAAGTAGACTTTACAGGATTAGCTATAATGACTTTAAAGCTGCTAATACTTTAGACTTCAGTCCAAACTACATGGGGATACTGCCTCGTTCGGTTTCATAGCAGATTTTTTTAATATAACATGAGCTGAAGGTTAAGGCTGGAGGTGGGTTATAGATCAAACTTCAGATGCTTAGACTGAGCCACATATGAAAACTTCAGTAGTATGCAGTCTCATTGTATGTTGAACTCATTGTATGTTTTGAACTAATACATATACTCCCATAGCATCAAGTTCATTACAAAATTAATTTGTTTTTACAAAATAAAGGAAATAGCTCTGACAGGGAGGGCATTATCTTAAATATATTTAATGCACAACCTTTAAGAGACTGCCTCTTTTTTAAGCAGAAAACTTACTTGAGTAAGAAAAATTTCGAAGTACTCGGTATAGTCTTCAAACCAAAACAGATCCTGTGATTCTGTGCATCAAAGCCATCCTTCTGTTGTTACTCCCAAGTAACATTTTCTTACTGTCTTCTTTACTGTGTTGTTATGTAGATGGTGAAAGTACAAAAAAGGATTAATGGTGACAATCATAATCAAGATTATATTTTTAAAAAAAAGAAATTAAATATTTCTGTGCATTTTTTCAGGGACTGGTAAACTTGAGAGAGCAAGAATCCGTCTGGTATAAAGACCTGAATAAGTATATGACAGTAGCATTGCTCTACCAAATTTCACTGTTTTACTGGCTTTTTACCGCAATTACTAGATTTACTGGATTAGTAAATATGATATGATTATTAATCATAGATATTTTTACCTTTGATTCAGTGTTAAAGCTATTATCAAGAAACTGTTTTTCAGAATCTCACTGTTAATTAGTCTGTGTAGTACTTCGACAATGGAAGTTTTATATAGTTGACCACTAAGGGGTTGGGGTTTTTTTACCTGTAATTTAGGTCAAACTGTCAGTTTTCCTGCTATCTCAGACCTCCCCAGCAGTATATTTTCTAGTGTCCTGTAAAGCAGTTGCTAATGTCTCAAAATCAGGGACTTCTGTCTTTCAGAATGAGAAGTTTGTGTGTTTTCTGGTTTAATTCTAACCACTTCCATTCCTGTTAAACTGCACAACACCAGCATAAACTAAGATAATGTTATCAGAGTGGTCCATCTTTAGCCCACGAATGAGCAGGATCCAGATTCCAGTGTTTGGACTTTGCTATTTCGTGCGGCTACTCGCCTCCCTCTTGTCACTGTCGCAGCCTTATGGCTGTGGAGCATCAGCTTTCTAACCATCTCACTACTTGCATCTGATGTGGTCCCTTAGTGCCTCTTTTACTTCTCAGCTTGCTGTCTAAGCTGCTAAAAGAGCAGCAAAAGTGGAAAAGTGGCAGTGGTCAGGATGGAGGAATTGCGACGACGTCGTTGACAGTAGAGCTTTATACTGTATCTGGCACTGTTACTAGTATAGTCAGTTTTACTAATCATTAACGGGTGCACTATATGTCTTAATACTAGTATACCAATTGGAAACTTAGAACTGTATCACTTAGGTAGGAAAGAAGACTGTTTGATGCACTTTTTTCCATCCCTTCCAAGAAGATACTTACTAATAGCATCAAAAATAAATCTGAAACCATAGAGACAACAGATGGTTGTACAAACAGAGGAAAATGTAATAGGAAGAACGGATAGATCCGGAAGAGAGTATTATGACTTCATCTGATCCTTCATAAAACATCTTATGAAGTATCAACAGAGGAGTTTAAATACCATTTTAATAAGCAGTATTTAAGTGAGCTATTACAGAATAATGATTATTTTTAAAACAATCTGATTAATAGTGAAAACAACAACAAAAAAAATTAATTCCCTATTATGCATATGGAACTTTTGTTATTTGCAGAGAAGAAACTGAGCAAAATAGTTTATTTTTCATTAGATTTTCATAGTTTGCTGTTTTCATTAGAATTGTGGCCTTGTACACATAGCATGCAACCAACATTCACTGTCCTTCTCTAGAAAAAAATCGAACAGTTCTTGGAGCAGGAAGTGTGGGCTTTTCAATAAAATAAGGGGTTTTTTATAGGTAACATTAGATGCAAAAAAACTTACACTTCTAATTATTAGGTAAATATAACTATAATAAGAATGAGTAAATTTTAGTGACTAAGGACTGATGTACAACTTTCATATAATGCTATATTTGCTGTTTTTCTAGTGGCCAAATGTAAATCTAAGGAACTATAAAGATGAACAATTGCACAGGTATGTGAAAATTATGTAGACTTCTTTTGAAGAAAGAAATTTGGAAAAACTGTTTTTTAATATTGCAATAAACTATTCCTTGGATTGTTCTAAAACTTAATCTATAGATAAGCAGCAAAAATGAAAATTTAAATAATTAGGTTGCAATATTTGCTTTAAATAAACAGGTCTTTAAACTTTAGTGGTTTCTTTTTTATGCACAGATGCTTTATATATGTATTCCCTTAACAAGAATCATACCAGCTTTGCAAACACCCTATTTCATTTTCAACCTTAAAGTATTACCTCTTTGATGTTTTATACATTAGTGTTTGATTTTAGCACTTGACAAATTTTGACAGAATAGGTCTACAGTTATACAGTTATGTAGTTGTAGCTTTCATCAAAAACCAAGAGGAAGTTATTTCTAGTTGCTATTAATGGCAAGGGAAACGTGTGTGATTTGGTGGGGGGGAGGTGGGGGGGGAACACACACAGTACAGCACTACAGTTCTGGTTCCCTTCATGTCTGTTGGCATTAAGACACTTTTATTACTTTTGTGCAGTGTGGTAATAGTTACTAATTAGTTCCTGGATGTCCCTTTTAACATCCATTTCAGAAATTGATTTGATTAAATTATTTTGAAGAGTAGTTCTGTATTTGTAGGCATGGAAAGCTACTTCTACATGAATTTGAGGGAAAACTTGAGGCTAAAACATATGCTGAAAGGCTCACGCTGCTCCATTTTAAATTTTTACTAAAGTGTTATCAGGCTACTTTTATATAGTGTTCCCTACCACTTAAGTGGTAATCCCATTGTAGTCATAGCCATAATTTAATTTTGCATTTGTATTTTTTCTGTTTTTTTCTTCCCTAAACGTCAATTGCCAATCTGTACTTTGTGGTAAAGGATTATTTTCCAAATCTGGTGGTTTATAACATTCCTTCTCTAAAGCAATGTCTGCAGTCCCACCCAAACCCACCCCTCTACCCACCTATGTGGGGCAGCGTTCCTGTTCTCTGGTTTTGGGCTGCACTCAAGCATTATTCAGTGCCTAAATAATTTAATTCCAAATAATTGAGAAAATCTAGGATTGAATTAGCGTAAAACTTCTACTGTTCGTTAATCCTTTCTGCAGGATTGTGGGTTAGATGCTTTAATGCCTTTAAAATGTTGTTGCTTTTTTTTATTATAAGTGATTAAGACCCAAATCTCTCTCTAGTTTCACTGCTGATAATAAAAAAAATTTCAGCCACTTTGTTTTTGAAGTGTAAAGTACATTTATTTGTCCTTCCGTAAGTCTATTTTTTTTTTTACTGTTAGTGTTCTTGTGATGATCTTATGGCTAAGTGAAATGCCAGATATTTTTGATATAGATTCCTTCATTTCATAGAGATACAGTTAATGCAATGTGTGTATACACATGTATATATTATAATATATATATTTATTGCTAATAACCCAGAATAAAATACATTTAATTTGATAAAATTTAAAGAAGCCCTCAGATTTCCTTAATAACTGGTCCTGTGTTTGGAGTTGGGGATAGTGGCTTACTCGCACTTTTTTAACTAAAGGTGCAGTGCTGTAATTAAGTTTTCTTAATGCTTGCCATATCTACCCAGACAGAACAATTTGTGTTATTTTAAAGCACAAATGTGTGTTTATTTTTTTAGTAAGAATTGGCGAGGGGAAGCTCTTTGCTGAGTATTTATTCCTGCAGTGCAAAACTCAAGCTATATTGCTCACCATGATTTCAAAAAGTCTGAGTGAGAGTCTGCATTTGCAATCACTGTGTTACGCTTCAGAATTGCTTAAGTGAGGTGAACAAAAATACTGTTGCTGAGTAAATATGACCTTTTCCTGGCAGAACACAAAAATGTATTTTTCACAGTAGCGTTAACTATTATAGCTGAAGAAACTCATGTCACAAATTCTTTTTTAGCTCTTTGTAAGTCTAGATAGTATAGTCTTTGAAACTCACTACAGGATAAATTACAGCAGAATAAATTATAAGCATGAGAATGAGGAGGAAGCTATAGCTTCTAAGAGCATAGAGATTTTGAGTTCCTTTGCTTATTTGAAGTCATGACATAGAAAACTCTTTATAACACACAGTACAGCTGCATCTCTGAAATTGTGTCTGTTTAGACTCACTACTGCTACCTGCTGCTCTTTCAATAACTTTTGAAAATTTATAAACTAATGTAGTGATAACATATCTTTTCTACCAGCATCAGTTTGTACTGTGAGACTGTCCTTGTCATACTGAAAAACAGCAAATTCGTTTTTACTTTCCATAGGTTTGTAAGGAGATTGCTATATTTTTACAAGCCTAGCAGTAAGCTGTATGCGAGCCTGGATCTGGACTATGCCAAGGCGAAGCAGCTCACTGTGGTGGGCTGTCAGTTTACTGAATTTCTTCTTGAATCAGAAGAGGTAAGAAAGTTTCAGCTACAACACTGGAGGTAGAATGAGTAGCGCTGCTGTATGCCACTTAGAGGAAAAACCTTAATTATAGTAAAGACTTCTGTAGACTTCGGGTGTTAAATCTAAAATGATCAGTGTAATTAAGAAATATAAATTAAAAACCTGAATTATCCAGATGAGACACTGAGGAAGATGACTGTGTTAAGTACAAGTTTTATTAAATATAGCTTTATTAAATGCAGCATAGGGTTTGGAGTTTTTTAATTTTTGCTATGTGTATCCTTCCTTTCTTTACCTCCTTTCTTCTTGTGTGCCAAAGACTTTTATGCCTCAGGCCAGAGGAAAATGTCATTGAACAATCCTTTTCCTGGAAAGAAAGAATTGGTCCTAAGATGTCTCCAAGCTAAACTCCTTTTATTTGCCTTGAACCTTTTTCTTTCATCTGAATTGTGTTTGCCAGCCATCATTTCTATTTTGTATGTGTTTTGTGTTTGTACATTTTAAGAAATTTAAGATGGTGGATTTCTGTAAAGAAGAGAGACCCTGTTCTGTTACTAGTAAATGCTATTACTCTTGGTTTTGTTAGGATGGACAAGGTTACCTGGAGGAATTGGTTAAGGATATTGTACATTGGCTCAACTCTTCGTCAGGAATGAAACCTGAACGTAGTCTTCAAAATAATGGGTTACTAAATACCCTTAGCCAGCACTACTTCCTGTTTTTTGGTACTCTCTCTTGTCACCCTCATGGAGTGAAAATGCTTGAAAAATGTAACGTGTTTCAGTGGTGAGTGTTTTTATTCTGCTTGAATTGTGCTTATGGGTATAATAGTTTGAAAATTGTAAACTGTGCATGAGGACCACCCACTGTAAAGCTGAAAACTTTAAAGTTCTTTTGATTTACTTACAGCTAAAGATACCCAGTTGTGGGGGTTTTAGGTGTTTTTTTTAAGAAGGGGTCTCTTAGTCTGAACAGATACGGGTGATTGTGTCGCAAAATAGCTTACTTTTTCCTGTCCACACCTATCTGATAGAAAACAGTATCAGTTAGGATGATACTGTACTGAAAAGACGGGGCGGGGGGGAGGGCGGGAAGAAAAAAACAAAACTGAAACAAACAAAACCCCCCCACAAAAAACAAACCAAACCAAAAAAACCCCACCACATAAACCACCAAAACCTGACAGGTATCATGCTGTTTGTGAAATGTGATGATGCATGTTGTACCTAAACTTCAGTCCAATATATTGGAGTGAAGCTGTGAAGTTCAAAATTTTGTTCAGGTACAAATAAACTTACCTTCCTTTGGGAGTAAATTGGCTAGTGGCTAATACCAGTTTATTTTAAATACAGTAGACTTCAAGCGAAAATTCAGGTGTTTTGATGTCCTCTGTTTTTTTAAATTAAGTTGTTTTAATTGATTATTAGAATGCAAGTTTTTTATTGGCTTCAGTAAACTTGGTTTACAATAAAATCTAGACAGTTAATAGGACTAACCTTATGGCAAGCTTTATACACAGAATGTTTTACAATGAGGAATTGTTCACAGAGCTTCATGAACATTAATTTTTGTACTTATAATCACTAATTAAACTATGCTGACAAAGTTATTACAGAGAAATTATAAAAAATGTTGGTTTGGGGTTTTTTCCCTTGCAGTTTAGTGCATTATTTGGTCCCCATGTGACTCTAACACTGTAACAATTTAAAGTTACTCCATTTCATATGAGAACTTTGTATTCTGCGTTTATAGAAATGAAAGTCTAATTCAAACTACTTAAGTTTAAATTAATGTTTGAATAAATAAATGGGTTTGAGAGGGTTCAAGTACTAATTTTTATTTTCTTCTCCCTCCCCTTCCCCCCGTCCCTCACCAGTCTTCTTAATCTTTGTTCTTTGAAGAACCAGGATCACTTGTTAAAATTGACTGTTTCTAGTTTGGATTACAGCAGAGATGGGTTAGCAAGAGTCATCCTTTCTAAAATCTTGACAGCAGCTACTGATGTAAGTTCAATTCGACTTAGTTCCATTGTTATTTGCCACTAGACATTTATTTTGTTATTCAAAGTGTATGACTTTTATTTTTTTTATTTTTATTTTTAATATCCAGAAAGTTTTTAATTTTTGTATTCAGAGAAATGAAACTCCTACTCATGTAGTTTTAAATTTGCTGTGAACTTCACATCGTGTATTGTGCTCAAGAAATTACGGCATTCAAATAGAGGTTTCTCTCATGTATGAAGGGGGTTAAAGTCTTTAAATACATAAACCAAGTGTAACGTTATTGTCTAGGTGAGTAAATCAGTGGTGAAGGCATTGTTTTCATAAACAGAAATGTGTATTTCTAGCAGTAATAAAGAGGTTAACCTTCCAGTGGTGGGTACTGTTTTGATAATGATTGAGGTTGCTGTGGTGGAACTGAGTAGAAGCTATAGCTCCTGGAAGGAGGGGGAGGTTCAGAAATAGGCATTGGGATTTGTACTTCTGCATCAAAGAAGGTGAGTGGACATAAAACACAGACTTATGTGGACTTGGGAAAGGAAACTCTTGAACTTTTAAGAAAAGAAAATCAATCAGGTGTAACACAGTAGCCAAGAAAGCATTGATATCAGGGAAATGAAAATTAGTAAGTTGAAATCTAACTAGGAACGAACTCTCATTACTTCAAGGAGAGCTGTTCCTCTGTCACCTGGACAAGGCAGAATATATTCTAGAGTGGATTACAAGAGGGAATAAGGTAGATACTAGCTTTAAATGTCTCATTGTATTTTGGAGAGGAGAGGGAAATAAAGACATTGAGGATATTTCTCTGAGACTATCAAAGATACGATGATTTTTAGGAGTAAAGACTGGAGTCTGAAAGTAGTAAAGATAGTTGGGGTTGAAGGAATGATTCATTGAAAGAAAAGGGTGAAGCTCCCTACTGAATAATTTTGAAGTAATCTTTCAGTGAAGTGATGGCTTTGATATCCTTTCTCCAAAGTTGTTTTATGCCTACTCTGAGGAAGAAAGCAGAAATTATTATGTTGTGAGGACACATGCCTGTGTTTTTATTAGACTTCTAAGCTCCTGTTAGATGACTGTCAGTTAAAAGCAGTTTAGACAATGGAACCTCATTTAGCTGTTTCTACTGAGATTTCATAGAATCATAGAATCATTAAG